ACTCCACCCACAGATAAGTGTCTTCTGTTCTCTTGGGCCTCATCATCCATCATTCATCCTTCTCTGTCTGTATCTTTATCTTTTTTTTTAATGTTTTTATTAGTCATTGATGGTCATTAATTAATTTATTTATATGTGGTGCTGAGAATTGAACCCAGTGCCCCACACATGCTAAGCAAAGGCTCTATCACTGAGTCACAACCCTAGCCCCTGTATCTTTACTTGTAATGATTGTTTCTCTTCAGATTAAATCAGGATCAAGTCTCCTAAAAGTGAAACAAAACAAACAAACAAAAAAAATAACATCTCTGGATCTTACACTAACTACCATTTTCTCCCAATTCTATCACACCTAAGTAGCTCCAAAGAAAGGTCACTTGTCCTTTTTCACTCCCATGCTGTTAAGCACCCTCCTCTTTCTCACCAAGCCTCTTGCCCAATATTCCCTCCAGTTTTTAACTCCTTTGTTTTCCCCTCTCTGGGTCCCCTTCTCTACTCATACTTCTAATGCTTAGTGGCCAGGGCACTGTCTTTGGTCTTCTCCCCAGATAGGTTCTTGCCAAAGTTTTAACTTCTTTCTGTACCTGAAATGCTCTCTCTTTGACATTCCACTCCAAATCTGCCTCCTAAGCAGGAGATTCATTCATCCAACTGCTTGTTGCCTACTTTTACCAAATGTCCCCTGGGCTCCTCCACCTCTCAATGTTCACATTGCAACAATGTGTCATACTCTTTTCCAAGAGGGCACCCCTTCTGGGACTCCCTTTCCTGCTGGAGACCACTGCCTCTCTTTCAGAGCAAATCCTCCAAGCCTGCACAGGTTAACCTACTGAACACCTGCCTTTTCCCTTCCACTTCCACTTGCACAGCAGGCTGCTCAACTGAGGCACCCTTTCGTCTTGCCTGGACTTTGTGCCTGACCTACCTTATTGGTCTGTCCCCTTCTCACCTCCACCTCATCTCCTTCCACTCTATGCTCACCTCACTCCTTTCCTTGCTGTTTAATGACAGAGTTGTGGTATTTCCCAGATATCTGTGAAAACTTGCTCCTTCACCTCTTTTCAGCCTTGATTCAACCATCACCCTCAGTATGGCCTTCCCTGTCATCTTATTAAAATTGTAGCCCCTACCTTCCCTAACCACTTACCTGGCTTTATGTTGCTCTAGAGCACTATCAACATCTCACATACTCTATGTTGTATTTTGCCAACTTACTGTTTACCCTCTACCTCTCTACTGGAACATAAGTGCTACAAGGGCAGGGAATTTTGACAGTTGCTGTGTGACCTGGCTTTAAAAACAGACCCTGCACACAGTGGGTACCCATTACATATTTGTTGAGCAAATGATGTAAGTGTTGGTTCCTCAACCCTGCTGAGCCGAGGCTCTGTGATGTGAGGGTCTGGTCCTGGAACCAGCATGAGTTACGGCTGGCCCTGTCCTCAGGGGACTTCACAGACAGACATAAAATCAGACAAAAGAAAGCAGACACCAAGTCTCAAATGAACACTGCCAGGTATATGTCACAAAAACTCCAGAGGAGGAGATGTGAGGCAAGGGTATTACTAAGAACTTGAGGGAATTGTTTTTTATTTTAGACCATGGAAAATTGCAATCTATCAATGATTGCTTCCTCAGGGCTCCAAAGGAAATGATTTACAACAGTAGACCTTCTTGTGCCATTGTGTAAACAATACCTATTGCTTCCTCCCAAGATTCCTAAGCTGGAAATCACAGATTTTTTCAAATGAGTGAAATGACACTTAACCAGTCTGGAAAGGAAGATGAGGCTTTATACTACGAGGTGGTTAAAGGGCAACACAATAGCCTACCAACACCTCATGTGATATCATTGCTTTGGGGTAACTGGGATCAGAGTGCTCACAGAATTCTCTCACTCGGTAATTCTGCTTGGACAGCATTCCCACTTACAACACAAAACCTCTTCCTTCTTAATTTCTGCTTGTTAAAGGAATTGAGGATCAGGCTGTACAGCACAAAGCAAAATGATAATTCTTTCCAGTTCCCTTAAAAAAGGAATAATGTTACAGAGTTATTGGTTTAGAGCTCCAAATTATAGGCTGAACACTAAGAGGAAAGAAGACAGTGACATAGCTTGGGAGACTTTATTTCATAAGAAAATATTAATTTTCTCATCATCAAATCATTCAGATTTACCTTGAAATAACATTTATTGAGTGCCTATCATATACCAGCCACAAAACTGAGTATTTTTACATTATCTTAACCCTAATAACATATCCCCATTTTCCAGATAAGGCAACTGAGGGTCCCAGAAAGTAGCAATTTGTCTAGATGGTAGAGCTTGACAGTACCAGAATTCAAGCCCAGGACTCCTATCTCCAAGTTCTGTGCTGATTCTCTTTTACTAGAGAAGCAGGGAAAAGCCTATAAGAATTATAATCGAAGCAATGGAAATGATCCTCATGGCATTTTAGGAAAGGCTTTTCATTGAAAATCCAAGATATTATTTTCAGGATCCTGTAGGATTTCACAGAAATTAATAAAGGTGGTTACCTTACTATTTAATTCCTTCACTTTGTGAATAAGAATTTGAGAAATGTTTAGTTCATAGCATCTTCTTGTCCATGAAAAGAGTTAATTTCTCATTTAATAAAATGATCTTTAATTGCATTTCCTCTTATATGTTGTATCTTGGAAAACTAGAGACCTTAAACAGGCTCATAAAGAGTCTTTGCCCTTTATTTCAATAACTGAAATATTTTATAAAGTCAGGGCCGCTGATCTGTGTATAGCAAGAACCAAACATTTCAATGACTGTAATAAGATGATATTTCAACAGAGTAGTTAATAAATTTGAGAGTTTTTTCTTCTTTAAGAAGAAAAGTCCAGAAAAGGTGGTTGCAGAAGAATTCTGTGATTCTTCTGAATCAATTAAGGCAGTTATAAACTCTTAAGTATCATAACCTAGCAAAGGGCTAATGGATACTCAGTGCCACTGTTATCAAGTGGCTAGAATTTCACTGCTTGTTAAGCAAGTGAGCTGGTATTAATCACACAAAAAGAGGCATGATTTTTCACTCAGGCCCAGTGCATTCCAAAAAGAAGGAAAAGAGGAGGAACCCAGGAAGTGCCAGGATAGGCACACTGGGGATGGTTTAGACTTGAGACTTCTCAGATCAGAAGCAGAAACTTGTGGAGGGACTTTCCTGGGTTGCAGTCTAGAGGAGCAAATGTCCAACCATACTTTAGCCAGGCACTTACAATTTTTAAATGGTGAATTGTCTTTATGGAGAAAGGTCCACCTGATACCAAAAGACACCTGCAAATGGACACGAAATCACTCTTGACACTGAAGATATATTTATGCAACTGGGTCCAAAGGTCAGGGAGCAACTACTCAAAATCTTTCAAACTGGCCTCTAGTGAGTGGCTGTGGTGACCACTTGGTTAACAAATGAGTGTCTGGAGAGCTCAGGGCTGAAAAGGCAGCATTACACTGCACTTGCACAGGGACTGGGAGGGAGACACTGACTAGGGTTATCCCTAAAGTCTTTATAAAGGCATTTAATAATTCCAATTATTTACTAGGAAAATAAACATGGCCATCTCTTCTATTTGGCCAAAGGGAAATCAAATCGGTCTTTGTAGAATTGCTATTTACATGTGGTAGGGCAGGACAAACCTGTCTCTAAAAATGCCCAAAGTCACTTGGCAATTTCTAGAGGTAAGAAGCCAACAGTTGTCTTCTTTCCTCCCACAGATGTTCTCTGCTAAGGCAATTCCAGGATATTATTTATTTACCAGAAACACGACTTTCCTTTGCACAAGGTTCAGGAGGAGCCTGTCTGACCCCAAGTATCCCATTAACATCCAGAGGTTTTTCTCTGTTGTTGCTGTCTCGTTTTTGATGGGGAGGATTTTGGAAGGGGGCAGGCAGCACCAAACACTCAGATTTAGAAGCAGCAGACCGAGAGGAAGGTGCCTGAGGTTAGAAGGGAGACAGGCTGCCCCAACCCCCCACCTGCCTTTCTATTAAAGGCAGCAGGTTTCCGAGCAGAGGGTGGAGCCTGTCAAGGAATCCACTTTCTCCAGAGGGTGCACCAGCCCTCGCTTTGCTGGATTTCTCCACCTGTGCAAGCTCAAAGAAGGGTATCCCTGGGCCCAACTGAGAAAAGAGACGACCTTGGCAGAAATTAAGGATCTAAAATACGAATAACCCGTACCTCCGAGCTCCGACAACAACCTAGTCCAGTGATCTGTCTGGAGTGAATCACTTAAATACACCCTAGTTTAAATGTTTAAAAACAAGTAAAACTGGCTTAACATTATTTTTATTAGAAAACGTGGAGAGCAAGGTAGCACAGGAAGACTGGGCTATGCGAGTTCTGTCTTTTCCCCTGTGATCTCCCGTGGGCCACAACTGCACGCCCCTGAATTCTGGCATGCATCGGGCAGTTTTACAGAGCCCCGGTGCAGAAAGCAGGCGCTCACTCCCTTGGAAGGTACCTTTCCGCGCACCGCCCTGGGTGAGGGGCGGCAACACTCCTAATCTCCCCTGGAGGCTAGGCCAGCCCGCAGGCTAAGGTGTCTCTTCTAGTCCTACAAAGAACTGTAATCCGTTTCGGTAACTGGTGGGATAACGCTGTTCAGGGAGGAAAAAAACGGGGGGTGGGGCAGATAGGATGGAAAAAAAATATTAAGCCACGCTTGCTTTCAAAGGGGCAGAAAACAGAGCTACTTGCTTTCCTTTGCACCTTTAAATCCCCTTTGATCATTTTGGGTAAAGCAACCCAAAACGGAGTCCCCCGAGTAGCTTTATTCTTCGCATGCATAAATTGCGCGCTTGGGGGAAAACGGCGGTCTGGGGTCTAAGGCCAAGGTCCAAGGGGAGCGGGTGGCCCCGGCAGAGACTGCGCCCGCGCCATGCCCACCCTTGCACTCGCACACCCCGCACGCGGCCTGGGCTCTGGGCACGCGTGAGGGTGCGCGCATCGCCCACCCGCCGCGCTGCTCACCTAGCACCACCGCGGCCACTGTGGAGAGCAGCAACCAGTTATTCTTCAGGAAGCGCTTGTAGTCGTATCCCTTCCTCGCCGTCTTCCCCATGGCTGGCGTCCAGGTTCGGAGCCGCAGCTGCGACCGCCGCTATTGTGCGCGGGGCTCGGCTGTGGGCGCGTGGGCCGGGGCTCCCGGGATCGCCGGCAGCTCAGTGGCGCGGCGGAGGCGGGATGCGGGTGCTCCTGGGAGAGGAAGCGCACAGACTGCTGCCGCTGCCGCTGTCACTGTCACCGCTGCCACCTGGGATCGCGCAGCCTGCTCGCCACCCAGCTAGAGCGGTGGTTTTGCGTGGCGGGCGCGCCCGGCTCCTCCCGCTGCCGCTGCTCTCCGCAGCGACCCGGCCAACCAGTGAAGAAGGAGGGAGGAGCGGCGGGCCCAGGGAGGCGGGTGGGTGCGTGCGTGGGGCGCCTGGGGTCCCGCAGAGCAGGCGTGGGAAGGCTCCCAGCGCACCGGCTGGAACTGGGGGTGCTTCTCCAGGAACCTGGTCTGCCCCATGGCCTTCAGCTAGAGTGGCTATCGCTCGTCCCCCCCCCCCCCCGTGTTAGGTCTTGGAATTTAGGGTTCCTTGGGCCCCTTATCCAGAGGGGGCGGAGTCACTGCCCCGCCCTCCCTCCCTCTCTGTCTCTCTCCCCACCACCACCACCAGCCTTCCCACTGGTGGCACTGGGAGAACGCGCTGCCCTTGAGAGTTTGGAGAGGCTTTGAGTTGGGGGACACTGGTTCTGCCTTGAGTCCCTCTTGCTTTCCATGCAGGATGTGATTTGGCAGACGCCTCGAAAACCTGAAGCCTCTGGGTGAGCAAAGGAAAGAGCGAGCGAGCACTGGCAGTAGAACAAGGCTTCCGGAACTTTCACACAGGGCCGCTAATCCCCCGCAGAGATTATTACTTTGAATTTTGAGACTTAAGAGGCGAGGCTTCAACAGTATTTGCTTGTGGACACAGGCTTGGAAGTGTTCCCTGCACCTGCAGATGATGATCCCTGTCACAACTCTACTTTCTGCTCCTGGTGACTTGCTCCTCAGCAGCGCTTGGTAATTAGGGCTGAGAACCCATCCAACTGTTCTAGGAAGGTGGGCAGGCCCATCTCTTAAGGCCAAACACGTTAGAAAGGCAAACCCGAGAGCTGGAGAAATTAGGTTAGTGATGCCAAATATACTTTGTGCTGCTAAGTGAAATTTCTAAATCTTTCATTCTTCTACCCATTTTTTTAAACTCTCACTTAAATTCTTTTCATCTCTTTTAGCACATTACCACCTCCTCAGTTTTCAACTGCCTTCTCATAAACTTTATTGAAATTAAGTTGAGCCCTATAACTTTTTGCCAATGTGGAGTCTACTCTCTAGTTAGGGGTTGGGAAGAGATCTTTCACTACATTATCTGATGACTATAACCCAACAATTCAAGCTTCATTCCCTTGTCTTAGATTGATAAAAGCAGGATTAAAAAGAAGATAAGCTTTATCAGCCATGTATACTTTAGTATGAATGAGTTTGATAAGCTCCCTTCTAGAAAGTAAACTTTGACTGTCGGAAGGATAGTGTTTTATCAGGATCATTGGGTGGCCGAGGGGGATCTGAAGACTGTCAGAAAAGGAGAACTATCAAAAAAAGGGGACAAAGATTCATTCCACTGTGGGGAAAAAAAAAAAAAACTGGAAAAACTCCAACATCCAACATGAGAGAAATGATAAATATATTCTGGAACTGCCATGCAGCAGATTATGAAGTCTATTTAAAGGAAATTTATGAAGTTTTTAATATCATGAGATAGGAGAGAAAAGAAAGATTTTAAATTGTGTATATAATTTTATCACGTATGTAAAATAAACTTAAAACCATGTGCTTAGGAAAAGATTAAGAAAATACACCCAAATTTAAACAATGGTCATCTTTGGGTGAAAATATTATGTTTGAAGTTTTTCTCTTTCTATTTTTCTGTATTTTCAAATTGTCTTCTTTAAGAATACCATGGCCATAATAGTTGCTGGTAGGGCTGTATTTACAAAATAAATAAGCCCTGAAGGGAGAGAAAAATAGAAGAACCTAAGAGGAACTTGGCATACTTCATAACTTTCTGAATTGTAATAAGACAATTACACTTGAGTTCTTTGGGTAATATACTTAAGTTTAAATACCATGCCATCACTTACCAGCTGGGTGACCTTGGACAAGTTGCTTAAGGTTTTTTGCCTCAGTCTTTTCATCTGTAAAATGGGGCTCTGAAAACCATTACTTTGTAGGGCTATAGTAAGAATTGAAAATGATAATATATCTGAAAGCCATAGAGTAGTGCCTGGCACACAGTATTATCACTGGTTTCTCATGGGGTCAACCTGGACAGGCATCTTCATATTCCCCATGCCTTGAAGCCTGCCTGTCATCTGACCCACCAGAGCCCTTACATATTGATCAATAATAATTGCTGTTTAAAAGTACAAGAAATTGAATATTACCCATTGCACTTAAAGCCTATATAGTGCATACTCATTTACATTATGCAAGTTTAAAATAATGCAGTGTAGATTAATGAAGTCCCATTAACTACATACATTTTGAACTAATAAAAATCTCCCAGAGCCAAGTAAATTTTACACTGTTTATACAGTTGCTACATAGTAGCCCCAATTTATCTGATAGTATAAAAATTAACAAGCAAACACAAAGCATGCATGTGCCAGCACTGTTCTGAACACTTTACACACATTAATTCACTTGGTCAGTGCAACAACTCAGTGAAGTAGGGAATGTTGTTACCTTCTGGGACTGTTAGAAGAATCAAATGAGATATTGTGTGTCATCATCTTCATCTTACAGATGAGTAAACTGAGACACAAAGAGGCTAAGCAAATAGATCTAAGTTCTGTTCCTAAGAGGATCAGGATTGAACTATGAGGTATTTCTAGAATTTCTGCTTTTAGCCATCACCTTTTTCATGAGGAACAAATACAGAATTGCAATAGGAAAATTACTGTTGAATTACATGTTTTATGCAAGGTCTGTTCATATTTTGGAGACACTTTGGTGTTCTAATATGCCACACTCCAGTAGACACTGAATACATTTTATGGAGTAGTAGTTGAACTCCTGAATCCTTTGTCACTGTTGCTGGTACCTAATTCTGTGGGATTTCTCTGCCTAAGACAAGCAATGTATGAAGTGTTTCTTTGGGGAAAGGGAAAGTTGGAGACCCCTACTGCTGATTCCTATTCTTTTTAACTTTCTTGGCTTGTGAGAATCATGGACACATGTGATCCCAGATTGCAGGAGAGTTAGAAGCACTTCCCTTGTAAACTCCACCTAGGGGGAATTTGGCCACCAATTCCTGGAAGAAAGAGTTCATTCTGCTAGGATGAGAACTTGAAGCCAAGTAGAAAAAATTGCTAGGATTTTTTTTTTCTTCCAACAAATGTTAACAACTCCTTTTTCTTTTCTTTTTTTCCTGTAAGTCTTTTGAATTCCTTCCTGTGGCTGATTTTTATTGATTACATTTTGCTCATCATCATCATCATCTTCTTCTTCTTCTAACATTTAAGTAATTCTGGTGTTTCCCTTTATTGTCCCCCCTCTACAACCACTTTTTTTTTCTTTTTTACATGTTGACTCATGGACTCTCCAGTTAGTTATTAAAGAAATGAGACTTTGACTTTATCTGACAAGGTTAAATCAGCATGTGACAGTCTGGCCTTATATATCAATTGAGATATAAATGAAAAAGACATTCAGAAGCAAAAAAAAAAAAAAAAAGTGAAGCATCAGCTTCTGAGCATCTATTGAAGTAGTCTGCTGGTTATAGTCTCCTTCATAAAGCAGACACTGTTGGTTGCTTTGTCTCACAATGTGGCAGTGGAGAAGGTCACGGGGGACCAGAGTCTCCTCCATCTTCTCAGCTTCCTGCCTTGTATAATGGGGAGTGGTGAGAACAATGCTCATGGAACTAGAAAATACTATGACTTTTCTGAGGATAGTTAGGTAATTTGTAACATCTTTTACCAGAACCATGTGTATTCTTTTAACTCAACCATTTCACCTCTAGACATTTATGTCTCCCAGAGTACCCAAAAATGTGTACAAAGTCTGTTCATCCCCAGTCAGTTGGAAACAACTATCTCACAAAGTAGACTGGCTAAAGATTAAATGTGCAAAAGTACATTGGACAATGGAACACCAATCAGGGAATGAAAAGCATATTTTAGTAGAATATTGAATTAAGTGGGAATTACAATGGGAAATTGAATTACACTGGAAAATGGCAAAGACTGTTTTGAAATGACAAAAGTAAATTATAAAACAGTGGTCAGGATGGTTTTTGCCATGAGGATGTAGTCACTTACTACTTGTAGTCTTGAAAATATAAAACAAAAATATGCCCACTATAATTATATTTAAATGTGTATAAGAGTGGTCATTTGAAAATTATTAATGTGTGTTTTTCTTTTGCTTTTCTGAGCACATGCTGTTTGCCCTGCCACGCCAAGGTATTTGTGTGTGAGAGAGATTAGGATTTGTTACAGAAAGAATTTAAAAAATGTGGTAACATTCCACTTCTGCTAATATATAGGATCATACAGCAGGCAGGAAACACTACTATTGGAAGCCAGACTGTTTTCTAGTCCTGTTTTCTGGTCTTTCTATTAGAATATCAAAAGCCCAGCCTAGAAGATCCAGCTCATAGCATTCTCCTGCAGTGTAGGAAAAACACCCCTCCTTTTAGAACAGGTGTGGGCCTGCACAGCAGGTGGTTAAGGCACAGGGAAATGAGAAGAAAAACTCACCACTGGGTTCTCAAGGCCTTGGTGGAAAGAAGAAAGGGAAGGAGAAGAAGAGATGGTGGTCTGTCTTCTCGCTCTTTAGGTCTTGTCCGGGAAGTGTTTGGACATTAGAGAAAAGAGGATGGCAGCTCCGCTCCCTGTTCCTACATAGGAGGCTGCCTCTACACTAGCGCTTTCGAACCTGGGGCATAACCACATTAATGCAAATGGGGCAGGGCAGAGTGGTCAAGCAGAGAGAAGCTCTGAGATTTCATTTCCCAAAGTTGTGGTTTGGATATGAG